GGCTCTGTCTCAAAAAAAAAAAAAAAAAAAAACAAAATAACATGTCCTATTTCTATGTGAAAATACACTGAGGTTTTGGTTGGATGACTTGAGTTTGCTATGATGACTCACAAGCTCTCAGTGACAGGAGGGAGATTCCCGCACAGAGGGTGCCCTGGGAACACAGCCCGCACGGCCACCCACACAGCGGGGCCTACCTGCTCCGTTGCTGGCTGGGGCCTGCCCCTTCGGTGGTGGTTGAGCCGTCTGCTCCTCCGTTCTTGAGAGTAGGGAGAAGAGGCAAGATGTGTTAGCTCAGAACAGCGTGCCGAGTTGAGTGTGTGCATCCTGGGCTCACACGGCCCTTCCACGCAGGAGGGCGCAGTGAGTGGGGCGATCCCTGGGAGCAGCACTGCTCGGAGGGGGTCAGGACGGAGCCCAGCCAAGCACAGTGCCGCCTCCCCAGCAGGCACCATTGTCTTTCAGCAGCCAAATAAAGCCTCCTCCGACCCTCTCCTTTTCTACTAATTTTCACTCTTAAAATTATAATACCAATCAGTCTGCTAATGAAAAGGTACCCATCAACACCCATGAACCCATCAAGCACCACACAAGGCCACAGGGTGGGGGAGGCCCTGGTTGGCCACTTGCCTGGGTTCCCTGTCCCCTAGCCCTGCCACACCCTGATCACAGCTGTCCCTGGGCCTTGGACCCCCTTGCACTCTGCCTTCTCCTGCAGTTTCTATCCACCTGTCTAGATCCTACAGACCTGACTCTCCCCTGTGTGCCCTGAGGGAACCTGACCCCAGCAGGTGACCTGACCCTTGGGTGCCCTCTCTGTCCTGGTCCTCTGGTCAGGTGTACCCTCTTCTCAGGCCACACCTCTTAGCCCACCTCATCCAGCACTGTCCTCCCTGGGTGGGGCAAACCTGGGCGGGGGTGGGAGGGTGCAGAGGGCACTCCCCCCGGGGTTGGGGTACCCTCAGCACAGGAGCCCCTTGCTTTCAGGCACGGGGGAAAATGGTTTCTGCTTTGTTTGTATCCTGTGATTTCACACTGACAGTGCCATGAACCAACCCAGTCCTCAGGCTCATGACCTGTCACTGTGACCTGTGACTGCCACGCATGCTGAGAACAGAGTGCAGGGGACACCAGGACAGGAGACCAGCAGAGCTGGTGCTGGGTGGGGGCTGTGGCATCCTGGGATAATGGACATTGAGACATTGAGATGAAGCCGTAGCCATGGGGCAGGGCTGGACTCCATGCCCAGCCCTCCTGTGACCAGGGTGGGGCTGCCCAGATGCATGTCCATGCCCAGCGCTACCAACAGAACAGGGATTCACTGGGAACAGGTGGTGGGCTCAGGGCACATGGGGAGTCCAGGATCCCCAGTAGGATTCCAGAAGAGGCAACTCAGCCAGGAAACACTGATAGACTGGCTCGGCACATGGCTCATGCCAATAATCCCAGCACTCTGGGAGGATAAGGCAGGAAAATTGAGGCCAGAGGTTCAAGACCAGCCTGGGCTACACGGCAAGACCCTGTCTCTACAGAAATTAGAAATTAGCCAGCTGTGGTGGTGTACACCTGTAGTCCCAGCTACTCAGGAGGCAGAGGCAGGAGGGTCTTATGAGACCAGAAGTTCAGGCTGCAGTGAGCTGTGAGCTGCCACACTTCAGCTAGACCTGATCTTTAAAGAAACAAACAGGCCCCCACCCTGGCCCAGGTGCGCACCATGAGGTCTGCAGGCCCTGGCTGGGGTGGGGGCAGGGCCCTGAGGCGGG